TTTTTTTTTGGTTTAGGAGTTTTTATTCCTTTAACAGGAAATTTCTAATTTTCAAGAATAAGGTATTTGGGGAATCCATTTCTTTTCAAACTAAGCCCTTAGCCCAGCAGCAAAATTTCTGAAAAGAGGGTACTCATGCATGCCGAGGTCAGTTATTGGATTAATGACCAAGGAACTAGTGTTCAGCAAACATGATTAACAGCTATGTTTTTGGCCGCTCAGTTGGGGGAGTCACACCCAGATGCTCTGTAGTAGGGTTGCTGGCCAGGGGGTGGGTGGGAGAAATACCCCTTGTCACACTGATTACCTCTCCCCACTTCCCAGATCTGCTTTTACTATGCACGTGGAAGCTGGGCATTCGGCGGTTCCTGAGGAGGGCCCCAAAGATCTTCGCTGTCCTCTCTGCCTCTATCACACCAAATACAAACGCAACATGATCGACCACATCGTGCTGCATCGAGGTAACCTTCATTACTGCTTTTTCTTGGGGTGCCACCTGTAGCTTTAGTGGCATTATAGCAATGTCCTCTAAAGGTGACAGAGGCACCTTTGCCCTGGTCCTTTTTTCGTCACCTTATCTCCAGGTGAGAAATCACAGTGATAAGCACAGTGACAATCAACAGGATAAAAACACCTGCCTGCCGAGACCATTTCCTCTACCAGAAGGGAGGCAGAGGTGCTGGATCTGACAGCGGTGGCAGTGAACACTTCTGTAGGGCTTCCCAGTTAGAGAGGTTTTTCCGCTCTGAATTCTCTGCCCCTCACAGCCTTGGGGAGGACGTACCTAAGGCAGGAGTGAGTGAGAAGCGGGTAGATGAGGACATGTTGTAGAATGTGAAGAGGTTTATGATGTAAGGGATTCTTTTGAGGATGACCAAAATGATGATTTCCAAAGTAGAATGTTCAGTTTCCTTTGAAATGGATGAGGAGAGAGAATTCTTAAAAATAAAAGTGGCATGATATGGATTAGAAAACCCATGGACTTCGGATTTAAATTCAGGGTTTAAAACCTACTCTGTTAAACCTCTCTGTTATCTGTAAAAAGGGATGATTATACCTATAATGAGATAACATGTGGAGTGTCAAACATGATGAGATAAGATGATGAGAAATATTTCCTCCAAGGAGCTCTGGTGGTGTAGTGGTTAAGCGGTTAAATGCTCAGCTGCTGACCGAAAGGTGGGCAGTTTGAACCCACCAGCTGCTCTGCGGGAGAAAGACGTGGCAGTCTGCTTCTGTAAAAATTACAGCCTTGGAAACCCTGTGGGGCAGTTCTCCTCTGTCTAGTGCATTATGTCTAGTGTATAATGAGTGTTCCATAAACGTTGGTTCCTGCTGGTAAACAGTGATGCTTCTTTTAAGTCCACTTCACTTTTCCTTTGAGTTGAATTTACTCTTGGCCAGTTAAAACATTATGAAACAACAGCTTCCTCTGCATTGGAAGGAAAAATACATTTATGTACAACCTGCTTTGTCCTGAAAAAATTCAAACTTCGGGTGGATGGGAAAAGATTGCTGTAATATCCATAGCCAGTCTAACTTGCTTTTTCCATCTACTGATCTTTCCATTCCCTACTTCATTCCTTCTTTTCTTCCTCTTTCTTTCTCTCTTTCTTCCTTCTAACCTTGGGAAGCTTTTCCGTATTTGCCACATGTGTTTCAAAAGCAATCAGTGTTGTCTGCCATGTAACTGAGATACCACTCATACTAAAATGCTGGGTATTTGGGGGAGTTTGCAAAGTATCCAACATTTTCCTTAGAGCTGCTGCCTTTAGCCAGAGTGTTTTGTGACATAGCTACCTATATCTTCTGCATAAGTGTGAACTACACACAAGGACCAACATTTCTCACTCTCAGATTTCCCCACCCATCACACTAATGAGACATGAGATTGGTGCTGGCTAGGACGTTGTCTTGGTGATCTAGTGATGCTATAACAGAAATACCACAAGGGGATGGCTTTAACAAAGAGAAGTTTATTCTCTCACAGTCCAGTAGGCTATAAGTCCAAATTCAGGACGCTGTCTCCAGGGAAAGTCTTTCTCTCTGTCAGCTCTGGAGGAAGGTCCTTGTCATCAGTCTTCCTTTGGTCTGGGAGCGTCTCAGCGCAGGAACCGCAGGTTTAAAGGACACGCTCTGCTCCCAGCGCTGCTTTCTTGGTGGTATGAAGTCCCCGTCTCTCTGCTTGCTTCTCTCTTTTATATTTCAAAAGAGGTTGGCTTAAGACAGTATGTAATCTTGTAGATTTCATCAATATAACTGCTGCTAATCCATTTTATTACATCATAGTGATAGGATTTACAACACATAGGGAAATCACATCAGATGACAAAATGGTAGACAATCATACAATACTAGGAGTCGTGACCTAGACAAGTTGACAGATATTTTGGGGGGACACAATTCAATCCATGGCAGATGTCCACTTGCAAGCTGGGAGAGGCCGCACAGGAACATTTAGGCAGGAATTCTTGGCCCAAGTGGTCTCACTTGGTATTCTGCCTCAGTCACCTGGCTTCTGGTCCCCCAGCCCATGTGTTGTGGTGGCTCTATGCCCCATCACAGCTTAGGTGGAGGCTATCAACAGTGTTGCTGCTGAGCAAACAGAAACAGTGGGACGGCACTTTCTGTGGTTGGTTCTCTCTCTTTTCCCATATTGTTGCCTGGCAGGACCAGAGCTTTGATGCCTCATGAGCTCAGTGACTTTTCTTCCACGAGCTGAGAATGCAAGAAGCGAGGAGGCAAAGAGAAGTTCAGCACCGTTGCCATGAACACTCCAGTAGTGCTCTACACTTGACACAGTGCTTCTCCCACACACAAACGCACTTCATCTTCCATCGGCATGGTGAGGGATAATGCTGTTATCGGGAATGCCTGCTGCCCTTTGTGAAACTTGAGACTGAGAAAGACTACATTTTCTTTAATTTAGTGTATTTATTTGTAGTCTACATTTCACAAAGGGTTTACGGTATCTGATAGACGTACATGCAGAACCATAGGGTTAAAAATGTGAAGAAACTACGGCAAATACAAAATAAAGTGGAACCATTGGAAAGTACACTAATAGATTGAAGAAGCTGATAGAAATATAGGAGTCTGGCTACTCAGTGTATGTCATAAAGTATGTGCATTCCTTAGCAGTGGCCTGCACCTGGCCCTGATATTCTTGCCTGCTGTGGGAGAGAAGAAGTCAGAAACATTTGGATTTAGAATGTGTATTAGATTTTTTTTTTTTTTTAAATGCTGTTCTGGAAAATTTCAGGAACTCTAGACATTGAAACCTGAAAGGAACTTCTCAGTGGATTCTTCTGAAGGGGAGAGTACGTGAGGTAGTGGAGATTGTTGCCACCATAAATACTGTGGTGAGTTCCATAGGGCCAGTGAATGCTGAAGTCACTTAACCACTTGCCTGACCTGTAAGCAGTAAAGCTATGATTCAGTCCCAGTCCTCTGATCCCATATCCCACCTGTCACTGATTATTTACAGCCTTTTCTCTCTACTTAAGGAGAAAGTTTTTATTAAAGGAGGCATCTGAGTGTGTAAACATTGTCCTCATTGGGGTCAGAAAGTACACAATCTGGAATGAACATCAGCATTTGAGGTTTGGTAGTAATATTAATAAAAATAACAACAACAGTTACTATTACTGATTGCTTACTAGGTAGCAGGCACTGTACTAAGTGCTTTATAATATTTTATGGAATTCTCACAAAACCTATGTGGTAAGTACTGTTATCCCCAGTGACAAATTAAAAAAAAAAAAATAGGGCCAGAAAACTGAGCAACTTGCCTAAGGTCAAATGAGTAATAAGTGACCCAACTGAGATCTGAACCCAGGATTGTCTGACCCAGAGCCCATGCCTTTAACACTATCCTTCCCCTGAGAAGGTGGTATCACCCTGTTGAATGTTCTAGTGGCTGTGGCAGCTGAGTCCAGGGGCTGGAGGTCAGAGACAAGGACCACAGAACTGCAGATGGCAGAGTGCTTCAAGACATCCGTGTCTGCCATCTGTGTCCTGGCCTGGCTTTAGTGTCCATCTCAACTCAAAATGGTAGCTCAGTGGGAGGTCAGTCTTGACAAGTCAAGAGATAGGGTTGAGTGCCTTGCAATTTAGGGTTGGAGCTGATCTCAAAGTAACAAGATGTGGCTCTTTCTGCACCTGAGCTCTCCTTGCTCTGTGGATGAATAAACATCTTTGGTCTCTAGGGGCTGCAGTAAGAGATCTTTGTGAGGCCTTGGCTAATTAAAATACTTGGGATGAAAGGCAAGAAAAACAACTTCTGAACTGGCCGTGAGACAGAGCTACTATTTGCAAGAATAGAGTTTCCACAGCGTTTAGTCTGGACAAATTGGTGTATTTTTGTAGGGAGAAAAGGGAAAAGAATCCACTTCAGTTATGTAAAATTTGAATGAGAAATATCATATATTTATGCTGGCATTGGCAAAAGAGGGCATACTCTTTGTTCATGCATTCAGCAAGCGTTCATTGTGTGCTTGTTATATGCCACACTGGGTTCTTTGGGCAAGAGGGGAATGCTAATGGAAGGGTCAGTGGTTCAAACTTACCAGCCACTGCATGGGAGAAAGATGTGGCGGTCTGCTTCCTTAAAGATTTACAGCCACGGAGACCCTATGGGGCAGCCCCACCCTGTCCTGTAGGGTCGCTATGAGTCAGAATTGACTCGATGGCAACGGTTTTTTTTTTTACCCCTACCTGCCCTCCTCAAAAAATGAAGTGTACACATAAGTATGATGCAAGGCAGTGAGTGAAGTGTCTCGGAGACTTATGGTGGCAGATATATTTCTCTTTGGGGTACAGAAAGGTGGTGGAGGGGGGTGGCTTTCAAACTGAGCCGTGATAAAATTTCAACAGACCAAGAAGACTTAAGGCCAGGAGAGGGAACAGCGTAACAAACCACTGAGGTGAGTGGAAGCAGGACGCGTTCGAAGCGGGGCTTTGAACTAGTTCTGTAGGTTCAAACGCCTGCTGAGAAAGTGCATTTCTAACAAGTTCCCAGGTGATGCTAATACTGCTGGTTAGGGACCAGTTCTGAGAACCACTAGTAGAGCAGTGGTTCTCAAAATTTATTATACATAAGAATCACCTGGAGGTCTTGTTAAAATGTAGATTCTGATTCAGTATGGGGTGGAAACGCAAATTCTCATCAGAGATGCCAACTGGAAAGAACTTGTTTGAAGCCCTGGTTTGCGAAACGGTATTAAGACTGTTCTGAGTACCTTCAGGGAGTAGAAGGAGGCAAGGCTAGAAAGGTATGTTAGGGCCAAGTTATGGAGGGCTTGGATACCAACACTGGAGTTTGAACTTTGCTCAGTGGACGGATGGAAAGCCAGGGCAAATTCTGAGCAGGGTGCTGATGAGATGCCTAATGAATACTAATTTAGCAAAGGTTGAAGCAAAGGATTAAAAAACCTATCTCTTTGATGAACTCTGAACTTGG